TTCTGTTCTGCCTTCTCTATCCCCGCACTCTGTGCCTCATCCCGTCTTTTTTCTCCATGCTTTTCTTTTTTGAGACAGAGTTTCCACTCTGTTGTCCAGGCTGGAGTGCAATGGCATGATCTTGGCTCACTGCAACCTCCACCTCCTGGGTTTAAGCGATTCGCCCGCTTCAGCCTCCCAAGTAGCTGGGATTACAGATGTGCACCATCACACCTTCCTAATTTTTGTATTTTTAGTAGAGATGGGTTTTCACCATGTTGGGCAGGCTCGTCTTGAACTCCTGACCTCAGGTGATCCACCTACCTCAGCCTCCCAAAGTGCTAGGATTACAGGCGTTAGCCACCGCACCCGGCTTCACCATGCTTTTCTGTTTGGGGAATTTTTATTGTCCTATTCTTAAGCTCAGAGATTCTTTCCTCAGCCAAGTCCAGTATACTAAATAAGCCCATCAAAAAGCATTCTTCATTTATGTTACAGGGTTTTTAATATCTAGCATTAAACACCCCCCTTTTTTTAGAATTTCCATCTATGCTTACATTTTCCATTTGTTCCTACATGTTGTCTACTTTTTCTGTAAAGCCCTTAGCATATTAAAAAGTTTCACTTGTTTTTAATTCCTGGTTTAATAATCACAACATTCTTACCATATTTGGCTCTAGTTATGATGCTTAATCAGTCTCTTCAAACTGAATAACACTTTTTTTTTTCCTTTACAAATATGTCTTGTAATTTTTTGCTGAAAGGTGACTATGATGTGCTGAGTAAAAGGAAGTACAGTCAATAAGCCTTTAGTAATGTGGTGGTAAGGTTGGTAAGGTGTCAGGGAGTGGAAGCATTCTATAGTCTTATGATTAGGTCTGTCTTTTGGTAAACCTGTACCCCGGCACGGTAAACTTTGGCAGTGGGGGGGGGGGGGGGGTTTGTGTGTGTGTGTGTGTGTGTTTGTTTTTTTTTGAGACCGAGTTTCCCTCTTGTTTGCCCAGGCTGGAGTGCAATGGCGTGATCTCAGCTCACTGTAACCTCCGCCTCCCAGGTTCAAATGATTCTCCTGCCTCAGCCTTCTGAGTAGCTTGGAATACAGGCATGTGCCACCACGCCTGGCTAATTTTTTGCATTTTTAGTAGATATGAGGTTTCTCCATGTTGGTCAGACTGATCTCGAACTCTCAACCTCAGGTGATCCGCCCACCTCGGCCTCCCAAAGTGCAGGATTACAGGCATAAGCCACCACACACAGCACTTCAGCAGTGTTTTTTCAGTTGTTTTTCCCTCTTAAAATGGACAGAATTGCTAAAGGGTACTAGAGTGGTGTATTTCCCTTTCCCACATGGAAGGCTAGAACCAACTGGAGCTGAATATTTTCCTTCCCTCAAGCCAGTTAGGCTTTGATAAAACCCCACCGGGTTAGGCTCTAATAAAAAAGTTTCTTCTTGCCCAGCCAAAAAAAAAAAAGAAAACCCAAACACAAACAAACAAAAGTTTCTCCTGTGGGCAGGGTTTGTTAAGAACAGAATGCTCTGCTCTATTTCAAAATGGTTGCTTTCTCCATCCCTCAGCCAGAAGTATGAGGGGATTTTTCTCTGGTATTCATTTTGAGTTCACCTTTATGAGTATACTATACTAGTATGACTGGAAGTATAATTCACAAAGGTGTAAGGGCTCCTCTATGACTGGGTTCCCCTGGAGTTTTTGATTCTCAGGCTTGTCCACAGTGAGGCTTCGGCACTTCATCAATTACAGTTCAGGTTTTTCTATCCCAGCACTGGTTCCCACAGAGGTTTCTTCTCTGGTTATGATTTGCTGTATCTTCCTGTCTCTCCAGTTCTGGGGGCAGCAGTTTTCCCTGTGTCCTTATTTCTGAGGAATTTAAGAGTTGTTGTTTTTTGTTTGTTCAGCTTCTTACTTATTAGGATGGAGTGGCAAGTTCTAAGCCCCTTACATAAGACTAGAAACTCTGCCTACTTTTAAAATTCATTGCTGTGTGAAAATATCAGCTTGCTTATACTTTATTTTCTGGGTTAAGTTACACAATATAAAACTTTTGCATATTTGAGGATATGAGAAGATCTCTGGGTGAATTCCTGTATTTCAAGGATCTGCTACTTATTTCCTGCATAAGACATTCAGATTTATGCAGTTTGTAAGCTATACCCAGTGCCCTAAATAGTACTGTGGTGCTATATAAATACCTCAGATATTTAATAAACATTTGTGGAATAATCTATAAATGAATGAATTAAAGATTTCCCTGGAACTCCTTGGATTCTTTTCAGTTTCACCAGATCACCCCTAGTTTTCTAATAAATTCGATTTGTCCTGAGAAAGATAGAAGGAATTGTTCTAACGTTTAATATTGTTATTAGTTGTTAATATTCTAACTTGGTCTGAATCTTAACCTTGGACACGTTTCTCTTGATTTTCAATTTGAAAGTACAAAATTCAAAAACTCCCAAATCTCTGTGTAGGAGTGTTCTATGCAATAACCACTCTAAGTCTTCCAAACAGTAACAAAAATTGCTAAACTGACAAACAGAAAAGTAAACACAAAACTAAAATGTGGGTAGCTTATTTGTTTAGTAACAAGAGTTAACTGCATTATTTTGTTGTAGATTATCTTTTGCATACTTTTATTCTCAGAGTGTTTTTCTCTGTTATCCGGGAATCTTTAGGTTTTTCCATTCTTTTATTCCCTTTTATTTTTCCAACCTAGGAGTACGTGCAGAAGAATACTAATTTTAATTTTAAACTAAACAAATTTTAAGAGGTGCGATATATACTTGGGAAAATTTAACATGAAGGATATATTCCCCAAATAACATTTAATTGACTTAAAATGGATTTATTTAGGTAGCAGCTCTGTTCTACTAATGTGCCCGGTAGTTAATTACTATTTGTTTTAGACTGCAATCCCCAGCCTTAAGCTTAACTATTTTTTACTGGGCTCTGGTTCCAGAGGAGTGGACTAAGAAAATTATTAATGCGGGCCGGGTGTGGTGGCTGATGCCTGTAATCCCAGCACTTTGGGAGGCCGAGGTGGGTGGATCACGAGGTCAAGAGATCGAGAACATCCTGGTCATGGTGAAACCCCGTCTCTACTAAAAATACAAAAAAATTAGCTGGGCAGGGTAGCGCGTGCCTGTAATCCCAGCTACTCAGGAGGCTGAGGCAGAATTGCCTGAACCCAGGAGGCGGAAGTTGCGGTGAGCCACGATCGCGCCATTGTACTCCAGCCTGGGTAACAAGAGCAAAACTCCATCTCAAAAAAAAAAATAAAATTATTAATGCTAGAGAAGGGTGGTAAGAGAGTGAATGGGTTTTCAAAATCACGTCATATAAGGAGTAGTTAAAAAGAGAAGGATGTTTCCCTAAGGAAAAGAAGACTAGGGTAGATTCTGTATCAACATTTATCTCAAAACCCTTAGCATGGTCCACAGGGCCTGAATCATCTGTCTTCCACTTACTTCTCCAACCTCCTCTTGCAAACATTCTCACTTTCTGTATTTCAGCTCTTTTGGCACAGTTTGATACCTCCTTTTTTAGGCCTTTTGCATATACACTCCTTTGGCTAGGAAGATTCTTCTCTACTTGTTGGCCTATTTCCTACTATAGATCTCTGTTCACATATTACTTCCTCAGGGAAGCCCCAAAACAAAAGTTTCTAGCTCAGGTTTCCCTTGTAGCAGTTATTTCATTTGTGTGTCTTTCACGCTAGACTATAAGCTTCAAGACATAAAGGACCACGTTTGTTTTGTTAACCATTTTTTCACCTAACACAGTGCCTGCTATGCAGCACGCAGGCAGCAAATACTAGGTGAATGAACATCCATGCTTATGCCAACTAAATTGCTGATTTCAACTCAAATGCCAAAAGTTTCTTAAAAACCTACACAGAAACAATAACAAAAAAAATCGATAGGTGACATAAACGAATGCATAAGGATAGTAGGAATAACAGGAAATTATAGAAACTGCAGAGAATTGAAGACAGCAGGCCTTATAAAAAAGCATTCAAGTCAAACAACTTTGAAATTCTGTGATGACTAAGCACACAGCATGTTCATATACCACATTTGGCTATAGGCTGCCAGTTTGCAACACCTGTTTTAAGTAAATTGATATATTCATTATAATATTGTAGAGGGCATTTAATGCCATGAGAAAATGCTCACATATACTAAGTTAAAAAAAAGCACGCTCTGGGATACCTCATTGGTGGATTCAAAAATTAACAAAATAAATTTTAAAAAGCATGCTTAATACAGAAGTGGAATTCCGATTTCATTTAAAAACACACAGAGAAAACACTGTGTAAAAGTTTGTACTAAAATGTCAACAGTGGATATCTCTAGCTGATAGAATTATATGTTTTGGTATGTGTGCTTTTTTGTAATTTCTTAGTGTTCTAAGATGAACATGCATTGTTTTTGTACTCAGAAATAAATTGTTTTTACAAGGTAGAGAAGTAACTCAGGTGTCAATGTGGAGGATAAAGTAGAGTACAATAGGATCAGAATCAGGGAGATTGACTATTGTAATAATATAGGTGAACAATGGTGAAAGCCAAGTGAAGGCAATGGCTGAGAGGACAGTGGTTAACAACGTTACCTGGTCCTCTCTGCTGAAACATATGCTTCAATTTCTACTTGACTGTAGTTGTCTATGTTGGGCAAATTTTCGGGTGGAAAGCAGAGCATAAGCCAGTAGCTCCCTGTTTTATTTTTTAGCATTTGTTGGCATTTAATAGAACCTCCTTCCCTGTGGCTTCAAGCCACCAGGACACAAGTCCTCCCCACAACCCCAACTTAATCTTTTCCTAAGCTGTTCTGTTACAGAATTTGGCCTTCACGATGACAGGCTGCTTTGGGAGGTTTTCCTTCTCCAGCACTTTATAGTAGCTCTAGAAGAACAGAGAAAAGAATTTACAATACACTGTGGCAGGTACCAACTCCCTGATGGGAATGAGGAGATTCCTGCCAACCTATTTTCTAAAATCAAGGTAGAGTATGTTTCTGACCGGGCACTAATGGGGACACTGGTTGCCCCATCAGTGATCAAGACCAGCAGATTCTGATGACTTCAGCACATTGGACAAGAGCTGTGTCAGGATGTGACTCCAGTCTCAGAGAGCTCCCTGTTTTTGAATTCCCAACTCTTCCTGGCAGTATCTATCCCTTATCTCTTGAAATTTCAACCTGGAGTAGAAACCCAGGAAATATTTCTCAGTTCATGGGTTATCATCCCCTTCTGCAGTATCATTGAGACTGTCTCTGTTTTCCTGTAATGATTTCATTCTTAGGCAGGTTCACCCTACATGATGATCAAAGGTGACATGTAGCTTTTGTTTTGTTTTTTTTTCCTTATTCCAGAGGCAGGTGCCTTTTTCTTAACAGTGCTACCCCAAATGATGAGACTATCTCTGATTAGCTTCATTTTTGCTAATCTGCCCATTCCTAAACAAATCACTATGGCTGAATAATAGGATACTTTGGCTAGCCTGATTTGTAGGCTCACTCCTGTGGTATAAAATTAGAATTACGTAATGAACAATTATATCTGGAGAAAGAGGGACAGGTCTATATTAGGATACACTCTCAAATCTGTGGTCTAACACAAAAGAATGCATATGACCTCTAACACAAGTGTCCCTAATTGGCAAGCAAGTATTCTCCAAGTGAAGATTCAGAAAACCAGAAGTCCTATCTTGTGGCTTTGCCATCTTTAACACATAGCTTCCAGAGCAAATTTGCTCATCTGCCTCAAGTTGGTGGTGACTGGGGTATCTTGGATTGCTCATATGATGTTTCCATGGCCCAGAGAGCTGGAATAGGAGCACATCACTTCTACTCACATTCCACTAGTTAGAACCTAATTAGCACACCTAACCCATATACCTAATTGCAAGAGAGGCATAAAATATAACTGTGTGGCCAGAAGAATTTAGCATGTACAAGAATCCACTATTCTGATCACTAAACATGTATTTTACCTCTCTTTCCACACGCAGAACATACCCTGTCCCAAGGGAGACAATCTAAAGCTTTATCCAGTCACTGGAAAAGGCTCAAAGTCTAGGATTTTCAGAAAATGCGCAGTTCTCTTCATTAGGTACAGATGTGACCTAAGAACTAAAAAGACAAGTTGTCTTCATCGTCACCCCCTGTCCCTGCAAACCCAATATACAGTGGTAGCTCAGGGACACACAACCATAATACACTCTCATTCAGAAAAGAAAAATGTGACACTGAGCAATATATGCAGTATAATAATAATGAAATACTGTATAAGCATTTTGCCGCCCATCTCCTTGAGACTAAAGAAAGTTTTGATGAGACCCCAATTCTAGTTTTCAGGAGAAACTCCCTGTCCATTCTTTTCTACAGTTCCCGACAGGAACTTCTGAAATGTTCTTTTTTTTGTCCATCATTCTCCAAAGACACATTCTATGTGGGTACTGGGGAGCTGTTAAGCTTTTATGCTCTATTTTCTACTTACGCAAGACTGAGGTTGGATAGTTACCCACTGTTTTAACACCTGAACAATATATGAACCAGATTTAGTAAGATTAGTAATAAAATTCCTCTAAAAATGTAGTCTTCTGATTGAAGTGCTTCTAGTAACTATACCCAAAGTTCTTTCTCAAATAATTATCAAGCCTAATTTACTGCTTTGATTCCCTGCTCCTATGCAACTTCCTCTAGATCTTTATCATAGCTATCTTGAAGCCACCTGAAATAATGACGTTGAATGGAAAGACCAAATCCTTTTCCTGATCTTTGTTGCAGGACTTAATCTCAAGGGTAACTATAACTCAAGACCTCTCCTAGTTTTTTTTGTTAGAAGTCTAAAAAAAGTCACCTTTTTCAACCCTTCCAAAGAAATATTCCTGTACACCCTCACTTTAGTAAAACTTTATTAAAAGTAAAATATAAAATTCAACACGTAGTATTACTTTTGCTCTTTTCAATCATTTTCTCTGGAGCTAATCTCAACAGATAGGTGATGATTTTGAATTATTCCAGGTGACAGTTTTACTAATTACTTCGCCATTGAAAACACAGGCCTCCTTTTTCCAGCCTGCAAATCACATTCTCTACCACTTGCTGCATCATAAGTAAGTTGATGTAACATACTTTAGGTTATTGTCTTGGCATTACTACACTTCTGGTACCAATTTCTGGACTAGCTATGGTCATTCTAGCTCCTATGCATATAAATTCTCAAATCTAAATTTTTTTCTCATATAAGAAGTCCAAAAAGGAGTGTTTCTAATTGGGATGGCTCTCTTCCAAGTAGTGTTTCAGCCACTCATTCCTCTCTTTTCTGCCTTTGGAATCTCCAATATGTCGTTTTCATTGTCACCATGCTCAGAGGCATCAAGTTGACAAAAAAAGAGTAGGGGAGAATAGGGGGACTTCATTAACCCTAAAAATGAGCACATCATTTCCAATTTCCATTCATATTTTCACTGGCTAGAAGTTAATCACAGCCAGGTGTGGTGGCTCACATCTGTAATCCCACCACTTTGGGAGGCTGAGGCAGGTGGATCACTTGAGATCGGGAGTTCGAAACTAGCCTCATCAACGTGAAGAAACCCCATCTCTACTAAAAATACAAAATTATCCGGGTGTGGTGGTGTATACCTGTAATCCTAGCAACTTGGGACACTGACACAGGAGAATCACTTGAACCCAGTCGGCGGAGGTTGCGGTGAACCAGTATCGTGCCATTGCACTCTAGCTTGGTCAAGAAGAGCTAAACTCTATCTTAAAACAAACAAAAAAAGTTAATCACAGGACTACAAGCAACCACAAGGAAAGCTATGAAATTTAGTTTAGCTGTGTGCCCAAGAAGAAATAAGTTTCATGGGCTAGTCAGTCCCTGCCAGAGGTTCTAAAAGGAAAAAAAAGTTAGAAAAAGAAAAAAAAGAAAGTCACTTTATGAGCCTTGTCCATTTTAATACTTTTAAACCTTATCCTGCTAGTCCCAATAGGATTATCATTTAACTATTATAGTAAAGAGCAAAAACTCATTTTCCTCCAAACAATGATATTAAAGAGGGCATATTTGGTAGCATGACAGACACAGAAACTAGACTGCAGAGGGCTAACAAGTCAATTTCAGAAAACAAAAAGACACTGAATATAGAATACTTTTTGAAGAAAGAAAGCTTGCTTGAGAAGGAAACAACTGAAAGCTAAAGAATGATTAGCTAAGGAACCAGAATTTGTAGAAGGTTGAAAACAGAAAAGATAATAAATGGATGAGAAAGAGGAGAATTGGAACCAGAATATGTACGAAGAGTTAATCTCACATATGAACAGGGAGTCTCTCATTCCTTGATGCTGGAGAAAAGGAAATATCAGGACATTTGTAGCATTTGGAAAATTGTGAAGTTCTAAGTTAAAAGTCATATAATGAAATGGGCTGAGATTTAAAGTCTGCAAAAAGTATTCAAGAGGAAAGGGAGAAAGAGATGCTGAAGAATATACAAAGTAGGAGGGAGGGATGTAGCTGAAATTATAAAATCTAAATCAATAGTGGTGAGATACACAATATAGTGTTCTGTTCCACACTGGAACTCAGCAACGACTGTAGAAGAGGAATAGGCAGATGGTTACCACTCTGTATATATATTTACTATAGCACTTATTACACTGTAAAGCCCCTGGAAGCAGAGACTTCGATTTCACAAATTATGCACACAGTAGGCACATGATGAATTTTTGTTTGAATGAACTGATTTAGTCATTGCCAATTCTGCCATGGTACTCTGTAGAGTACTGGCAACTGCCCACATTTCATATGGTATGCCAATGCTAAAAAGAAGAAAAATGCTATAAAAAAAAAATCCAGGCATATTCAGCTAAACTTAGCAGTCTTAAAATGGCAACTATGTCAGCTGAGACATACTTTTAATTTTGTGCCAGTACATCTGTCTTTGATGTTTGCTTCATTTTCCTTATGCCACTATACTCCTACTAGACCAGAAAGGGATAATTCTGAGTTCAATGGGCTCCACTATCATTTCAAAACTCCTTAAAGTTCTTCAGAAACCTAAAAATGAACTCACAGCCCTATCACAGTATTCCTTACAAGAGAAGGATACAGACAATAATCATTACTTATGCCTGCTTCATAGATAGAAGTTGAATCGAAGAGGGCCGAAGATCTAAATCAGGGTCATTCAGTGAATCGTCTACAAAGGCTGGCACAGACCACGCATCCTTCCCATGTCTTCCTCCCCTTGGAACCTTGAGTTATAATGATCTTAGACATCTCCTAATCTACTGCCTTCATATTACACACGTGTAAGCTCAGGTACAGGATGTCTATAAGCCAAACCTTAAACTCAGTTAAAGAAGGCTCTTTCCCCAACACAACGTCATCTCTCAGGATCCAAAGCTCTCTCTCTCGGATTGGCGGCGGAAAAAATGACCAGGAATAAAATTACGTTCAGCAGTCCAGAACGATGACCCCAACTCCCGTATCTAGCAGACAGCCTCCCGCTAACAAAGTGTCTGGACCGCACCTCCGCACCTGCTTCCCACACTGCCCAGGGTCGGCTCCTCGCCAGCTTCCCCGTCCTCTCTACACATCGCAGCCCTGCGCGCCCGCGAGGCCCCAAACGGGGCCCTCGAAATCTCACTTTCGCCTTTCGGCTACCCGCGCGCCACGGCTCAGGCGACGGCTGATGGCGTCACTGCACTTCCGCCTGCGGCTGCGTTCTAGTCACAAGCCAGGAAGGAAAAAGGGAGGGCTGCAGGGCTGTGTGTGCGGGAGATAGCGAGTAGAGAAGAAATCCGGTAGCTTGCGGGCGCTCCGGCGGCAATTGCGCCCCCCTTATCAGTCCCCGCCGTTTCCAGTCGGAAGCTGCCCCAGGCACACTTCCCCGGCGTCTTTCTAGTCTCCTCTCCTCTGGGTCTCCCAGCACCCGGTTTCCTTCTTACACCTCACCCCCCCCTTCCCTTGCTCCCTCCCTCCTTCCCTCCCGTCATCAGACTCCCCGCCCTTGGTATCGCGAGACGAGGTGAGAGCTGGCGGAGCGGCGGCGGCGGCGGCGGCAGTAGAGGTGACCGAGGCGGTGGTGGCAGAGGCGGCACCGATTGCTGTGTTGGCCCCAGTGC